TTCAGTCCTTGAGAAAGCAATATGAGAATCTCAACATGAAGAATAATGAGAAAGTTTCTGAATACATCTCCAGAGTGATTCTGATCACTAATGAGATGAAGGCGTGTGGAGAAACTCTTTCTGAAGAAACAATCATGGAGAAGGTATTGAGATCCCTTACCTCTCAATTTGATTACATTGTGGTAGCAATAGAACATTCCAAAGATCTGAGTACCATGAGAATTGAAGAGCTGCAGAGCAGTTTAGAAGCGCAAGAGTTGCGTTTGACTGAAAGAACTTCTGAAAGGGAAGTAGAGCAGCAGGCTCTGAAAGCAACTTCTGATAGGAGGTATCAGAAGCAGTCAGAAGTCAGGAGAAGATCTGATGGTGGTCAGAAGTCAGAAAGCTCAACCTCTAATAGACAAAAGAATGCTCAGAAGGGAAAAGAGAAGTATGACAAGAAGAAGATCCAATGTTACTGTTGTAAGAAGTTTGGTCACTTTGCTAGAGATTGTTGGTCAAACAAGGAGAAGAAGTCAGAAGAAGCAAATATAGCCAGAAGTTCTGATGACGAATCTGTGCTATTGATGGCCTCTGAATCTGATGATCTGACAGACTGGTGGTATATGGACACTGGCTGTTCAAATCATCTTACTGGAAACAAGAAATGGCTGGTTGACTTTGACTCTGAAAAGAGGACAAAGATCAGATGTGCTGATGACAAATATCTTAATGCAGAAGGTATGGGAAATGTCAGAGTGACTCTGAACAATGGGAAAACAGCATTGATTCAGAACGTGTGGTATGTACCTGGCATCAGAAGCAATCTGATGAGTGTGGGACAATTAATTGAGAAAGGTTTTTCATTTACCATGAAGGATAATCTTCTGAAGCTGTATGACTGCAATCAGAAGTTGATTATGGAGTCAGAACAGGGAAGGAATAGAACATTCAAGGTGAATGTCAGAACTGCAGACTCAGAATGTCTTAGTGCAACATGTGCTGAGAAGGAGAGTGAGTTGTGGCACAGAAGATTTGGTCATTTGAATTTCAGAAGCTTAAAACATCTGAATTCAAAGAAGCTGGTACATGGAATTCCTGCAATTAAGAAGCCTGAGAAGTCATGCAAAGTTTGCATGGAAGGAAAACAACCACGTTTGCCATTTGCGTCAGAAGTTGCTCCAAGAGCAAAACATGCCTTGGGAGTTGTACATTCTGATGTGTGTGGTCCATTTCCAGTAGCATCAATTGGAGGGAATAACTACTTTGTGTTGTTTGTTGATGAATTCACAAGAATGACATGGGTATCCCTTATTAAATTTAAACATGAGGTGTTTGTTGAATTCAAGAAGTTCAGAATGAAGGCTGAGAATCAGAGTGGTCAGAAGTTGAAGATTCTTAGAACCGATGGTGGAGGTGAGTATAACTCCAAAGAGTTCTAGAAGTTCTGTGAGGAGAATGGAATTGAGCATGAGGTTACTGCTCCTTATACCCCTCAACACAATGGTCTTGCTGAAAGAAGAAACCGTACTTTGCTTGATATGGTGAGAAGCATGCTAAAGGAGAAGAAGCTTCCTCAAAAGCTCTGGGGAGAAGCTGTTGCAACTGCAACGTATGTACTCAACAGATGTCCTACGAAGAAGTTGAAGGAAATAGTTCCTATGCAGAAGTGGACTGGAGACAAGCAAAGTGTTAGTCATCTGAAGGTGTTTGGTTCTGTTTGCTATAAACATGTTCTAGAAGTCAGAAGACAGAAGCTGGATGATAGAAGCAAAGTGATGATTTTGATAGGGTACCACAGTACAGGTGCATACAAGCTCTATTGTCCAGAAACCAATAAAATTGAATTCAGCAGAGATGTGATTGTGAAGGAATCAGAAGTTTGGAATTGGGATAAGTCTCAATCTGACTCTGATGTTAGAACTTCTGAAGAAAGGTCAGAGTTAAAAATTTCTGAAGTTGAAGTAAACTCTGACGTTGATTCTGACTCTGATAGTGATTCTGACTCTGGAGAAGACTCAGAAGATGAAGGTGACTCTGATGATCCAGACTTTGATGGTAATCCAAATTCTGGTGGAAATTCAGACTCTGAAGATGGCCAAGACTTTGAAAATATGCCAGATCTTGAAGATGGTCAAAACTCTAGAGGAAGTCAACCATCTGAAGCTGGAAACTCTGAAGCTCAAGACTCTGAACAAGTTCAGAGACCACAAAGAATCAGAAGCGTTCCCAGAAGATTTGCAGAATTTGACATGCTGCAAGACACTGAAGTAGACTCTGAAGGAGAAGTTATTCAGTGTGCCATGTTAGTAGACTCTGAACCTATAAGTACAGAGGAGGCTCTTAAGCAGAAGCTCTGGCTGAAGGCCATGAAAGAAGAACTTGATGCTATAGAGAGAAACAAGACTTGGAAGCTGACAGAACTTCCAAAAGACAAGAAAGCCATCAGCGTTAGATGGGTTTTCAAGCAGAAGTTAAAGCCAGATGGTTCAATTGGCAAACATAAAGCAAGGTTGGTAGCCAGAGGATTTCTACAGAAACCTGGGCTGGATTATTCTGAAGTGTTTGCACCTGTAGCAAGACATGAAACAATCAGAATGGTGATTGCAATAGCTGCTAACAGGAATTGGCCTCTGATGCATTTAGATGTAAAATCTGCATTTCTGAATGGTCCATTAGAAGAAGAAGTTTACGTGTCACAACCTCCTGGATTTGTGAAAAAGAATCAGGAAGGGATGGTGTACAGATTATACAAAGCTCTATATGGATTGAAACAAGCGCCCAGAGCTTGGAATCAGAAGATTGATTCATTTTTCAAGAAGCAAGGCTTTCAGAAATGTGAGATGGAGTACGGTGTCTATGTTCAGCATACTTCTGAAGGCAATATGACTCTGGTATGTTTATATGTTGATGATATACTATTGACTAGAAGTTCTGAACAAGAGATAACCAAGTTCAAGAAGGTTCTAATGAATGAATTTGAAATGACTGATCTAGGCAAAATGACATACTTTCTAGGGATGGAGTTCAGATATTCTGAGAAAGGTATCATTTTGCATCAGCTCAAGTATGAATTAGAACTTCTGAAGAGATTTGATCTGAAGAATTGTAAGATGACTGTCACACCTTCTGATACAAATCAGAAACTGGATTCAGACTCTGAAGGAAAGGATGTGGACGCTGCAACCTTCAAACAGTTGGTTGGTTCTCTGAGGTATCTGTGCAATACCAGACCTGATATTTGCTACTCAGTTGGGATGGTTAGTAGGTTCATGAGTAAACCTAAGTGGTCCCATTATCAAGCTGCTGTCAGGATTCTGAGGTATATCAAAGGAACTCTGAAGTATGGAGTGTTATTTCCCTCTGGAGGAAATAATGAGTCAGAACTTCTGAGTTATTCAGACTCTGATTGGTGTGGAGACAAAGTTGACAGAAGAAGTACTTCTGGATACTTGTTCAAATTTCTGGGAGGTCCCATTTCTTGGTGTTCCAAGAAGCAACCTGTTGTGGCGTTATCAACCTGTGAAGCTGAATACATTGCAGGTGCTGTTACTGCATGTCAAGCTGTGTGGATTCTGAATCTGTTGCAGGATCTGAAGATTAAAATAGACAAACCTCTGAAGTTGATGATTGACAACAAGTCTGCAATCAATCTTTCCAGAAATCCAGTGTTGCATGGGAGAAGCAAGCATATTGAGACCAAGTATCATTTTCTGAGACATCAAGTTCAGAGTGGAGTGTTAGAAGTTGTACACTGCAGCACTCAGAAGCAGTTGGCAGATGTTCTGACGAAAGCTATCAAGACTGATCAATTTCTCAGACTAAGGGATGAAATTGGTGTTACAAGTTTTGATGGAATATGAATTAAGGGATGGTATTAGAATATTAATAGTAATTCATATTTATTTAGTTGTACTATTTTCTTAGCCCCTAAGTTTGTTAGAGGGTATTTTAGTATTTTATCTTATTCTAGTAACCCTAGTTTTAACTTATAAATAGGGTGACAATCATTGTAACTTTAATCCTGTTTCTTCTGCCGTCATTCTTAATAGAATATTTCTACCTTTCATCATTTATTCTACCTTTGCACCAACAAAATATGTATTATAATTATACAAATATACTATTAACTTTATAAATAATAACAATATTTTTATTACATATAGGAGTCCGTAACACCTCCAATAATTCAAAATAGGTCACTAAGAAGAAGAAAAAGAACAAGAAGAAGAAGAAGAAGAACGTGAAAGAGGAATTAATGACAGACAACATTAATTGTAAATCATAAAAGAAAAGAAAAACAAAAACTCATCATCAAATGATGAAACACATATCAAAGGAAATTCAAAAAACAATATTAGTCAAAATGAACTTCAAATATTATCCTCTGACAACGAGTCATTTCTCACCTTATATTTTCATTATTTATAAATATATTACTTTTTAATTAAAATTAGACTTTTTTTTTGTTATGATAATCATATTATTTATGTTATAAAGTTTTTACATAAATAATATGTACCATAAATAAAATGGTATTTTATTTCAACAACTTCTATTTACTACGGTCGTAAACTTCTTTACCATCCAAACATCGCGCGGAATAAATAACTATTATTAGTGTTGATGTTTAAATTGATTGCACTATAAAACATCTAAAAACTCAAATAAAACTAATTTACATGTAACATTTAGATTCCATGTCAAATTGATATCTCATTGTGACACGTGTATAAATTATCAAAAAGCTAGAACCTTGTCATTGATTCCACAATAATCCAGAAACAACTTAACCCAATTTCTATAGATGTTTCCTGAACTTTTGGGATATAATATAACTCTAGAACTTTCTCTTTATTCACTAATCATTTTCTATATCTATATATACCCAAAACTAAAAGCTTTTCACCAACCAAACACAGACATAAACACAAACACCTCCTTAAGCATCAATCTCAATCATCACAAACTATCCAACATAGATTTCAACTGTGTGAAGAGATTGAAGAGAGAATCTGAAGATGAGTTTGTTTGACATGGATTTGAGTGGTGTAGTGAACAATCTCTTCAACCTTCATGAAGCTCCAAGGATTCATGATAATCATGAGAACAGAAAAACTTCCACTAGTATCCCAGTTGACATTTTGGATACTCCTAAGGAATACATATTCTTCATGGATTTTCCTGGTCTCTCCAAGTCTGAAATTCAGGTACACTGATTTTGTTAAACACTGACTTTGTTGAAACTCTGAAGTGTAATGTGTTTGTGCTCATGTATTACATGTGTTGGTATTGCAGGTGACAGTTGAAGAAGAGAACACACTTGTGATAAAGAGCAACGGAAAAAGGAAACGCCAAGATGGAGAAGATGAAGGCTGCAAGTACCTTAGGTTGGAGAGAAGAGCGCCTCAGAAAATGCTGAGGAAGTTTCGTTTGCCGGAGAATGCTAATGTGTCTGCAATCACAGCTAAGTGTGAGAATGGAGTTCTTACTGTGGTTGTAGAGAAGCAGACTCAACCTCCAAAATCAAAAACAGTTGAAGTTGCCATTGCCTAAGAGATAATCATTTGTAATCTTTTGTTTGTTTACCTGCTTTTAGCTTTTGATTTTAAGGTGGAAATGGAAGAGTTGAATCAATGTTTGTAGTTTTAATGTGTTTATTATGTTTCTCTGTAATGGAATTTCAAATTTAATAGGCAAATACAAGAAGAATCTACTCAAGAAACGTGAAAATAATAATATCATCACTTGTTAAGCTAATTGAATCATTTTCCTTAAACCGTTTTTTCTTACTAGCATCGTTCAATCACAGAACAGGAAGTTTTGGTCGGGTTCATTGTTTTTGCTGAAAGTTTTGTTTTTCGGGTTCTGGTTATTTTGGGTTGTGGATTTTTATGTTGTTGTTTCTTTGGTGGTTATTTGGTTTGGATTTGCGAAAATCGATATAGTTGAAACCCGAATTGGATTCGGAAGTGGCATACCGAGAGAAGAGGCAAAGGAAGCTATTTCGGATTTGAGGAGGTTGATGTCTTCTACGTCTTGTGGAGGTTTGTTGGAATTGGGTTTTCCGTTTTTTTCCAGTTTCAAGGAAGGAAGAGAAAATTGTTTCAGAGATTGAACTAGAACCAAAAACAGGGGCATTACTCCTTCCATCCTTTTGGTGCTTCCACGTGAAAATTCACGTTTAGTATTTTTGAACGCATTCGTTTATAATTTTTAAATTTAGTCTAAAAATATATCTCCATATTAATATTATGGTGAGAAAAAAAACTGAGAATTTTTAATGAGAGAATCAGAAAGAGCGAGAGAAATAAAGAGAGTCTAATATCTTGTGAGACCAAAGAGAAGGAGAGACAGAAGACTGGAAAAAGGTAAGAGTGGTAATATTCAAACTAATGCAAAAATGATTACAACATGTGACTTAAATAATTTCCTAAAAGATTTAAATTCTAGAGAGATTAAAAAGTGTTTGAAAAATGAAAAAAAAATGTGAGTGATGTATATATTACTCGCAAGAGAAACAATGAGGGTAAATTTTTCGCATTGATAAGATTGGTTAGAATATAGAATGAAAGCCGGTAAGATTTGGTACATACAAAGCAAGAGTGACCGACCGAAAAGATCAGAAACATTCAAAGTTAGAGTATGTAGGTGCGATCAGCAATTCATTTTTATAATTATGTTTTATAAATTAAAAACACCTGTTTCGAACGGGTATTAATTTTTTAATTTAAATACTTAGATTTTAATATTTAAAAAAAAACAATTTAAAAAATTAAAAATAAAAATTATTTAAAAAATTTAAAATAAAATTTAAAATAAAAAATTTCAATAAATTATAATATGTTTATATATATATATATATATATATATATATATATATATATATATATATATATATATATATATATATATATATATATATATATATATATATTAAATTTTTTATTTATTGGTGGAAAAATCTATAATATTTATTATTATTTTCTCATAAATGATTTTTGAGATTTATAAGTGAAAATTAAAATTAAATTCAACAAATTAAATTTTGACATTTTTTCTTGCATATATCAAATCAAACTCGACGTTATAAAATTAGTTTATAATATATGATAAAACATAAAAAGAGACAAAGACATATCAATTTAACAAATAATAAAATTTGAATACTCAATAAATAAATCACATTATTATTATTGTGAAAATTAGTTTATACTTGAATAACAAAATAGATAACCAGTTTTATATTTTAGCATTTGATTTAAATGTTTAAAAGTGGAACAATTTGAATACAAATTTGAGTTTTTTTACACAAGAATAGAAGATAGAGAGTTAATATGAGAGAGGGATGTCAGTTAATATAAATAAAGAAAAACAAGATACTTGTAGGAATCCTTCGAAAAGCATAAGAGGTTGATTCTATTCAACAAAAAATGGTGAATGAAGGAATATTAGCGTTTAAATTATATCAATGTGGTGATTTGGTGTTCTTAAAGGCGAGTGTTGACGAGGATTTCTTAACAATGATAAAAGATTTACATGAACTTTTCAATCAATGGTTCTCAAGGGTAAGAGCATGGAAATCAATATATGGAACAGGAGCAAGGTATCTATAGTGTAAAATGTTTGGAATTCCTATTTACGCATGGAGAAGGAAGGTGTTCACGATCCTTACAACACCATTTGGTAGTTTTATCAAAATGGATCCGGATACCGAAGATCTCAAAAGGTTAGATGTGGCGCGATTTATGGTGAGAACACCTTATATGGAGTTCATCAATATAGTTATAAACATTCAGATTAACAATGAAATGTATTAGGTCGGAATTTCAGAGGAAAAATGTGATTGAAAAAACTTAAAACACATAGGAGGAAGAGGAGAAAGGCTGCACAGGCTGATGGACTATGATAATGATGATTAAGAATTCTCCTTCATACCTCCTTCATGGCTTCCACGGAGGAGGAAGATGATGTACCGAGAATAGTGCATAATTGTTAGTAGTTATTGAAAGAGCTCAAAGTTGACATTGGGGAGGGGCGCGAGAAGGCTAGTGATTGAGATGGAACATTAGAAGAGGCAATAATATTCAATGAACAAGAACAGGAAAAATAGTATCTAATGATATGGAGAGAAGAAATTGGACTTAATAGAAATGTAAGAGAAGTGGCAAAGGATGTGTGGGATCTAGGGAAAGAATTTGGATTAATTCATAAAGGAGAGGAAGGGATATTACTCAAGAACTAGAGAAGAGGGTGATTGGGAAGCAGGAACTAAATAGATAGAATGCAAGGAGTTATAAGTAAGGTGAATATAAAAGTCATTAATCCATGAAGCTGATTTCATATAACGTTAGGGGTTTAGGGGATTGGCAAAGCAACCAGAGATTGAAAGACTAATACAAAGATATAGGCTTGCAATGATATGCATCCAAGAAATGAAGATGGAAAAGGTTGACATAAACATATGCTCTAAGATGTGGGGTTCTGAAGAATTGGATTTTGAGTTTAAAGCAGCAGAAGGGAGATCAAGAGGTCTGTTGGCAATATGGGATAACAACAAACTTAATATACAAAGTAAATCATTTATGGACTTCGCTCTAAGTTTGGAGGGAGAGTTGGGGGTAGACAAGAAAAGATTGAATTTGGTAAATATATATATGCACCTTGCGAAGGAAGAAGAAAATCGAAACTATGGTCAGTACTACAACATCTAATTGAAGCAAAAAGTGAAGAAAGATGGTGTTTGATGGGAGATTATAATGCAGTTAGGGTGGAATCAAAAAGAAAAGGAAGTAGTTATAACTGAATAAGGAATGAAATGAGAGCATTTGACGAGTTTATAGTGGAGTCAGATCTTATAGACCTCTCGTGGCAAGGTAGAAAGTTTAGCTGGTCTAGGCCATGAGGATCATCTTTGAGCAGGTTAGACAGGTTTCTATTTCAGAAGCTTGGAATAGGACTTGGCCGATAAGCGTTCAGTGGTGTCTAGAAAAAGAAATTTTTGATCATTGTCCAGTTTTATTAAATGAATTGAATCTTGATTGGGGTCCCAAATCGTTTAGAATGTTAAAATGTTGGACAGAAATGGAGGGATATCACAGTTTTGTTAAAGAAAACTGGAAGAATTTTTAAGTGGGCGGATGAGGTATGCCTGTTTTAAAAGAAAAGTTCAAGATGACCAAAGAAAAACTAAGAAGGTGGCATAAGGATCACTCTCAAAGCCTAGGAGAAAAAATTTCAGAAGCAAAAAAGGAGTTAAAAAAATTGGAAATTAAAGGAGAAACTGAGTGTTTATCGGAAGCAGAGGTAAGATAAAAAAAAAAGAGATAGAGGTGATTTTTCACAAGTTGTCAAGATTGAATTATAGCATTCAGTGGAAGAAATCGAGAGTCAGATGGTTGAAACTTGCAGACGCGAACTCGAATTATTTTCATGGTTGCATCAACAAAATAAAGAGGGATAATGAGATTCTATCTATGGAAGAGAATGGGAGGAAATTAAATGGAGTGGAGGAAATCAGAGAAGCTATTGCTAATCATTTTTAGAATCAATACAAAGAAGGAAGATTGAGACCAATCTCGAGAAATGTGAACTTTAAGAAGATTGTAGGTGAGCTGAATGAAGGTCTGGTTCGAGAATTTTCAGAAGAAGAAATTTGGGCAGCAGTGTGGGAGTGCGATAGTAAAAGAAGTTCGGGTCCTGATGGAGTATCATTCAGTTTCGTCAAAGAGTTTTGTAATGAGATCAAATATGACTTGTTTAGGTTGCTAGGTGAATTTCACGCAGAAGATAGTAAAAGGGGGCAAACAATTCATTTATAGTTCAGATCCCGAAAAGGAAAAATCCTACCAAAATATTCGAGTATCGTCCAATTTCATTGGTTGAATGTGTATATAAAGTGATTGCAAATGTATTGGCAAATAGGTGAAAAAGGTAATTGGATCAGTCATCTTAGAATCTTAATCAATCTTTATTAAAGGAAGAAAAACTTTGGACCGTATTGTTGTTGCTAATGAAATAGTAGACGAGGCAAAAAAGAAGAAGAAATAAGTTGTTATGTTCAAGGTGGATTTCGAGAAGGCTTATAATTCGGTTGATTGTAATTTTCCGAAGTTTGTGATTTCTAAGATGGGATTCCATGACAAGTGGATTAGATGGATTTTCGAATGTCTAAATTCATCTCGTATTTCGGTTCTAGGAAATAGAAGTCCTACGAAAGAGTTCAAGATGTCTCATGGTCTAAGATAAGCAGATTCATTGTCTCCATTTTTATTTTTGATTGTGGAAAAAGGCTTTAATATGTTGATGAAATGAGCGGTTGAGGCGGGCCAATTTTCGGTTATAAGATCAAAAAAGGAGAAAATCGGTTCACTCACTTGAAATATGTGGATGATACTTTGATCTCAGGTGAAAAGAGTTGGTCTAATATCAAGATAACCAAATCGAACATGTTGTTGTTCGAATTAATGTCGGGATTAAAGGTGAACTATCATAAAAGTGTGTTAGCGGGGGCTAATATTTCAGAGTGATGGATGGAGGTGGCTGCTAATATTCTT